TGGGGGCACCTGCCGCCTGGGGGCGCACCACCACCTGGAGTGCCTGTGCCCAGAGGGCTTCGTGGGCCTGTACTGCGAGGGCCGGGCGAGGCCCAGCCCCGCCCCCACCACCCAGCGGCCGCCCCGGCCCCCACCCCTCGGCATCGAGCCCGCCAGCCCCACGTCCCTGCGGGTCGGGCTGCAGCGCTTCCTGCAGGGCGGCCTGGTGCAGGTCAGGGGCCTCCGGCTCACGTACCGCAACCTGTCGGGCCCCGACAAGCGGCCGGTGACGCTGCGGCTGCCCGCCTCGCTGGCCGAGTACACGGTCACTCAGCTGCGGCCCAACGCCACCTACTCCATCTGCGTCAGGCCTCTGGGCACCGGGAAGGAGCCTGAGGGCGAGGAGGCCTGTGGGGAGGCCCGCACGCCCCCCGCCGTCCGCTCCAACCACGCCCCGGTCACCCAGGCCCGCGAGGGCAACCTGCCCCTCCTCATCGCGCCCGCCCTGGCCGCTGTGCTCCTGGCCGCGCTGGCCGCCGTGGGGGCGGCCTACTGCGTACGGAGGGGCCGGGCCGCAGCGGCCCCGGCCCCAGGCAAAGGGCAGGCGGGGCCCCTGGAGCTGGAGGGGGTGAAGGCCCCCTTGGAACCAGGCCCCAAGGCGACGGAGGCCCCGCCTGGCGGGCCTGAGTGCGAGGTGCCGCTCATGGGCTACCCGCGGGCCTGCCCCCAGGGGCCCCTTCCCGCTAAGCCCTACATCTAAGCCGCCAGGGATGGGCCCGCGGGGCCCGGCTCTCAGCCCTGCTGGACCGGCCAGCGCCCTCCCGCAGCCAGACCGAGGACGTTCTCGTTCCTGCGACGAGGACGCGTCTGGGGGGGGCCAAGTGACCGAAGCGTGTGCCTGCCCGCACGGACCTTGGGGACCCAGGCGATGACCTCTCAGGCCCCCGGGGCCCAAGTGCCTAGGAGGACAGCGCTGGCCTGTCCTCTGCCACGTGCAATACCCAGGGGGCCGTGTGCCGGTAACACAGGCCCGGGACGGCCAGCGCCCCAACCCAAGGAGACTCTGGAGCCAGTGAAGGAAGCCCCGGAGAGCAGAGGAGTGGGGCTGGGGACGTGTGAGGCCCCGGCCCAAGGGAGCCAAGGAACAAAAGAAACTGGAAAGAAGACACCCGAGGACAAGCTGTCTTGCTTTGCTCTTAGACTGTATTTATGAGATCCCATTTTTTCTGGGAAAGTGCTTTTCGATTCCAGACAAGGACTGATTTTTGTAAGACAATGATATGAAGGCCTTTTGTAAGAAAAATAAAAAGGTAAAACAAGATAGGGGTTTCTCTGGTCTGGCCCCAAGGTGCCCGGGCGCGGTGGAGAGGAGACTGGGGTGTGGACCCCACTCCCCGCACGACAGGCCGCGGGGGCCTGCCCA